CGAGAGATTTTTTTCATATTTGTATATCATGTAAGGTACGTATGGATAGATACAGAGTTGATAACGCGGTGCAGTAGGTTTTTTTTGTCTACCGTTTGTCGAAAGTAAATCAAAAGTTGTTGTCACTCACAGCTTGTTTTTTATTAATACTTTTGTATTTCAAACAGTTAATAACATTGCTCATAGGTATCTTGGAAACAAATTGCCAGAAATTGTTGACAAGGGAACTAGATTGCTTACAACATTTTTTGGATCGAAATTCGTAATTTTTTATATTTTATACGCTTAAAGGGTTGCCTTTAAAACAAATCAATTAGATACACGGAGGCATCGATAATTGCAGAAAAGTACAAAACGTTTACTTCCGCCCTTGGAATATTCAATGCCAAAGGGACTGAGTCCAGCTCCAAAACTTTCGAAGCAAATAACGTGAACACGTCGTTTTATCTTTAGGTATTGTGCTCCTGTGCCTGCCTACGCTCGATCGATGAAAATATTCTAATTTTTCCAGGCTCACTTGCTAGAGCAAGCACCTCGTAACTGAAGCCTATTTTTTCGAAATATTAGACGCATACTGATGTATAAAATATCAACAGCTTTTACAAAGTACTGAAACAATGTCAAATGCAAATTATACATAAGGCATTCGTGCATGAAATAAATGTTTTTAAAAAATTCATTAAAACAATAACTTTCACAGAGTTGAAAACAACCGATTCTATCATGGATAAAGTTTCTCGTTACAGTCAAGTGAATTACACGTAAAGAGATTGGAGGCGGACAGATAATGTTTCGCAAAACAACTCGAAAGGCGTAATAAAAGATGTGCGCTCGAGCGTTGAAAGAAAATCCCAAGAGCAAATAAGAGGCAGGGAGAAACCGATCTGCGTGTCGAAATGTAAGGAGTTGGCCAAGTGGAATACATGACAATTGCTCCGGTGCACTATGGTGTAGTGATATAGCCGGACGAGCATCACGTCGTCTCTTTCTGCTTCCCATTTCGCTTATTGCACTCCCGTATACGTGTAGTGCACCATTTCTCCCTACGTGTCCTTCCATCCACGTACATGTACTCATACATTTGACACACACGTGTCCACCGAGATTTCATTGGACAGGAATCTTGTCCGTACCAGCGGCTCAATCTCTTTCGGGATGAATTTTTTACTGCTCCTCCTCTCCATGTGTACGCTTTTATGCACGTAATACCTATGCTCGCTCAATACCGAGTAGGTAGGCATCAAGGGAAGAGGAGAATTTATTCGGTTTGAAACACTTTTCATAAGCATCAGATCTTTTTAACATTTTTTAATATGGCGGAACAAAAGAGTCAAGGTCTTCAACCCACTCCTCTGAGTTCATCTCCAATACAATGATAGTCTTAAATCCCTGGCTGGTAAATAATTGCACTCCCGTTACACAAATAGCATGCAGGGCTAAAAACCTCCTCGCTTTGGGCCAACTCTACTGGAGCTAGAGTATACACAAGGAATTTTACACGTATAAATTTTACGTATACGTACACCAAAAGTTGAAGGTGAAATTCATCATAATTATTGTCACGCACGTAAGAGACATTCCGAGAGTTTGTTTATTAAAAACAATTTTAACCAATCCTAGCGTAATGTCGCTTGGGTAACGCTATGTACATGTAAATTTCGGTAATTCGCCGCTACGTAAACTCACACGCACACTTGCGCGTATCTGGACTCGTAAGTTTGCGCGTCATTGCGCAACGAACCTCGATTTCTCAATTTTCAACTTACGCGTCACTGAATGGCGCTTTCAACCCGCGAATGAAAGAAATCACCATCCACCGTGTACACGCGAGGCTTAGAAAAGTCCTCAGCCGTGCAATAATTCACTCCTTTATCGGCGATAATTTACCTCTCGCACTTTTTAATTGAAAGCCGGGCGAAGCACCGCTGCTCAACGGCTGAACGTTGTGTGCACGGGTTAAGTTATCACAGTCAGGCTGTGGACAACGAAAAGTTTGTTTTTTTTTCTTCTTTTTTTTTAATGTTGATTCAAGGTGCAGGAGCACCTTACTATACTACCATCCATCACCTCATGCGTGCATTTACACGGCGCTTAAAATTGATGGATAGAAGGTGCGAGGAACTTTGCAATCTGTACATGCGTATTGTGGAAGGGAATGGCAAATGAGTGGGCGGGTGTGGGGAAAAAAAGTTCAGTCGGCGCGGGACGAGAGATCAAAGGTGGGGAATGAGGATGAGGAAAAGTGAGCGGGAAAATTTATTGTGATTAAAAACAACGCACGTCCTCATATTACAGGACCGTTCAGCCGTTGTTCCCTGATGCGCTGTCTAATCGCGTGGGCATACTTGTGTCGGTACACATAAACATGGATTGATCGATGCGGTCGTTTCTATGTTGATTCTTTCTTTTGGAGTAGCAAAGCAGTCTTTGTTTTTCATGATATCAGAAAATGACCATGATTGATTTATTCGGGTATGATTTTTTTGCCACCATAACTTATCAATGGTACAATACATTTATGATCACTACAGACAATGTATAAAAAGATGCATACATAAGGATCAAGAAAACCGTATGCCCGACACCCACAATAGATTCCCGTGCTCAATTAAAGAGAGCGAAACGCGCTTCTTTTTGTGCAAACGGTGAATGCAAAAGAGCACATGTATAGCATCCAACGTTGGGTGAGCTCTCGAGTATCCATGCCTCTTCTTCTTTTTTTTTTCATCCTCAGTATTAACGAACCCCTTTTCGCAATCGGCTCTCGGAATTAAACGCGATCGGACCACAATTACGAGCGAAGGTAAAATATCGTCGAACCAAAGTCAGTCCGGGGGACGCTTCATTAAACGCCCGAGAAAGTGCGAGGAAGTGCACGCTCTGCGGTTTTGCATTTCTGCCTTGCGTGAAGCCTTGATTATCCCGATTTCGCGAGGGAGGATGGGTGTAGGTTCGTTAATTCTCGTGCCCCTCGGTATGATGGGTAGGTATATGTGCAGGTACATAGGCATCGTGAGAGCCGCGATGTCAATAGATCAATTTTGCTCGGATAATTGATTCGCACCACCGCTTGTGTGCTTATATTCGCCGCTTCGTTTGTTACCTACACAGTCAAACTCGCCCCACTTGCGGCTTGGTCCTTCTCGTGTCTGTATCTTTGACTATCGAGCGCACATATACTATAAGTCATTATTTTCCACAGTACCTATCCGTGCCGGTGCTCGTTAGGCTTCGTTTGTTCGGATTTTGTGGAAAAGAGGTGGTTTTATGAAGAGTCGAGTGACACAAGTGAAAATTACCTAAATGTTATTATTATTTTTTTTTTTTCATCCCACACCAATCAGAAAACACAGAGTGCGAAATAAAAATAAATATAACGGCGAAAAACTCGACATTGCACCAAAAAACTTCGTACTCGATGAATAATCAGGTAATCATCCCCTTTTCCGTCGTTGAAATTCCAGCGCCGGGGAGATCGAGATACGCGATGTGGGCTTGAGGGTATACAAACCACACACACCTAGCTCGACTCATCCGCAAAGCTGCGTACCTTTTCCTTCGCATTAAAATGGCACGTAACCCCCACCTTCGAGCCCAAAGCAGCAAAACCACATAAGTACAAATGACACGATTAAAACTTTCCAACAAAACCAGTCAGCGAAACCGCATTTCAGCCACTGCGGCTACCGAGAGGACCTGGTCGAATGTACCGAGCGACAACGAGACGATTTGTACGATTCTCCCGAAAGATGGACGAAAAAATTGTCCAAACGATCGAGTAAATCCGAGGAGTTGCATTCGCGAAGTTTTTGGAAAAAAAACATGAATAAATCCAACGTCCCCCCCTTAGCTTCTGGCAAAGTGAATTTCCGCAAGTGCCAATCCTCCCGGGGTCGCAAGACGCGTTACACGAGCCTCCCCCTTTCGAAATCTTCCTGCCTTCGAGGAGAGAAACAAAGTTCCCCCATACCCTGGAGCGGACACGAGTCGTAGTATGGAGTCGGTCGCAAACAATCGGGCTCGACGTACGTTTGCTCGGACGGTTATTGACTCGTGCCCGTACGTCAAAATGCGCGGACAGTTCAGTGGAAGGAGATGGGGTATCTTCGGCCAGAGTCTACCCCGGGCGCAGGCTGTCGTCCCTGCTCGGATGTGCGGTTACATCGCCCTTACCTTATTGCGAAGACGAGCGGGCGGCCCTGCTGGAGTGTTGGCTGCTTATATATAGCTGGCCATCGATTTCTCCGATGGGCAGTCGCAGTTTTGCGAGCAATTGTACATCGACGGGTACGCCTGTCTGCAATGAGAGCTATCGGTTTGTCTCTGATAATTTATGTTTTCCACAGTATGCCCAGGTCTTGGGAGATTAAAATTTCAGGGAGTATGATAATTAAATCGAATCGGCTGTGCACTATGAAGTCTTTTGGAGACTTCTGAAGTCTTTGTAAGACTTAGAATGACTTTTAAAGTCTTTTTTAATGATTTTAAGCTGTAAACACTCTTAAAGTCCCGGTAAAAAGACTGAAGTCTTTGAAAGACTTAGAATAACTTATGAAGTCTTTTTCAATGACTTGAGGTCTTTTTTAATGATTTTAAGCTGTATACACTCTTGAAGTTCCGGTAAAAAGACTGAAGTCTTTAAAAGACTTAGAATAACTTATAAAACCTTTTTCAATGACTTGAGGTCTTTTTTAATGACTTTAAGCTATATGCACTCTTGATTTCCCGGTAAAAAGTCTGAAGTCTTTGAAAGACTTAGAATGACTTATAAATTTTTTTTAATGACTTGAAGAGTGCGCAGCCCCTCGTGTTTTTCGTCCTTTTGAGGAAATTTTCAAAAATTGGTTCATAAAATGTGCGTTTATAGCTGCTGCGAGTGGCTTTACTCGCGCGACCTTGCATCCAATTTAGTTTTATGCGCCGTAACTCACATACATGTAGAGCTACTACTGCGACCATCGCTTATCAACGTACATGTATGTACGTATACGTGGGTGAGAATGTTGATGGGTTGTGTATATTACGTCATTATTTGGAGACATCGACGCGAACATGAGACCTTCGGACGAATAATGGGTAAATACTGTATACGCGCGTAAACGTGGGGTGTGAGCGTGTGAGTTGAGTTGGATGAGATTATTTTATCGCAAGTGGAAACGACTTTGTCACGATTACGACGAGACGGAGGAGCGAGACAATTTTACCCTATATGCGCTCATCAACTGCTTTGTAATTGAATATTTATTAAAAAAAAAAATAATAATAATAAAATATACTTGTATGTTGCTCTATTTGTGGTTGTATTGTTGCATCACGATAACACCTTTTCTTTTTTGTTACAGTACATGGGTTCGTTTCCTGTAGCAGGTTTCGACGTCGCTTGCCGAGCGGAATACTTACGCGCCAAGCTTGATCTTCTCCGAGTGAGTACCTGCTTTGTTTGTCCATGTTTCCCACAAATGCAATACCTACACCCATTAAAAAGCTTTACGACAACATACTATAACATTTGGCCTACACGCAAGGTAATGGTTTTTCAGTACACTCGCGCGTGCATGTACAACTCTATTTGAGTTTAATCTCAGTATAATCTCGAGTTTGAGCACTTATACGCTAGTTTACATTGAATGTACGTCGGTACGTAAATGTCTCAGGTGTTGTGCAACACTGTCGGCCAGTGTCGGCCATCTGGTAATGCAGGTAGTACGACAAGGCAATTTTATCACTCGACACGCATTTCGACTCTGCATCTACACAAGGGTATAAATATAACCACCCAGAGTTGATGGTTTTTATCCATATATGTATATGCCTATAAATTCAAGCCAATTTTATCATCCTAACGCATTTTCCATGAAATTAGGCATATAAAACCGAGACGTTAACGTGTGGGTAACCACGTGTAGCCGTTTAATTTAAGACACTCGATAAGTGCCGAGGAGATTTTCCCTCGTATGTATAGCTCCTCTTTCCAACATCGCCAGTAAAACCCGATGAAGCGCGCACGCCGCGTCTAACGGGCTCTTCGTCCATTAGACGTTGACGCGAGAGGACGAGGCATATGAAATACGGGCGTTCCTCGCTTGCCCCTAATCCGAATCTTGATCACCCGAAACCTGCTCGTACAGCAAAACGCATTAGGCGTCCTCTCGGCTCCTTATCGCGTAACAGGTTTCCCACTCGTAACGCATATAATATATATATATACATGCGTGTAGTCGTGGCCGCGAAATTTTTCCATCAGCAGCTGTACCCGGAGGGTACATATTTTATAGTGCTTTTTGGTCGGCCAGCGCTATAAATCAAGCAAACGGTACACGCAGTGCGAGGGAGAAAGCGCCTCTCAATCGTTAAACGCCAACGTGCAGGCAGGCTCCTCTGCTGAGGGATGGGCTACTGCGCGTTGCTATTTTTTTTTCCAGGGCGTAGAAGAGGTTCATCTTCTCCGCGGCGTTATTCGCAATCTTTGAGATCCTCGAACGCGCGTAAACTCGGCTCTCTTTTAAAATGCAAATCAAGCCCTGAATAATACATTGTTTGCACGTGTATCTACGCGCGTGTACGGCCCGCTCGCGCAACTAGATTTGGATTGAGAGAGAGAGAATGGGGTGTGTGGAGGGAGCGAGCGGGTATATACGGGGCACTCGTAAACGGAAATACGGAAGGGGCACCACGAGGTAGCGAAGACGTGTTGAGAGTAATTGAGGCGAGCTTTTTTTTCGGTGCCTCCTTGGACTCGAGTTTCTGCCTGGGCGTTTGATTCGTAGTGAATTTTTGGGGGCGTTTTTTTAATTTTATATGAATCGGAAGATTTATTTATCCAGTTGTCTGTGACATTCAACCCAAGGCGTTGATGCGACGTTTCAAAATGAAAAAAAAAGACTCAAGAAAATAAAGTACCTTGTGTAATTGTTTCCATGGAACGTCGTCCAAGTCGTTGGGTCAGGAATCGAATTTTCGATTGAGCTTTTAGCGTCTGGTGATATCATAAAACTAACTGTGAGTCGATCATGGCTAAGAGGCATACTTTTGGGTTCAGTACGATGTATACATAATTATGACTCACCAACAATAAATATAATAGAAAAAAAAATACATTCGCTGTGACGATTAGCAATGCAAATTATTTGCAGTAAATTCAAATTGGACGATTACACGGTACCACTTTGTCAAATGAAATTGGGATGAATTAGGCGTCACGTGACGTCGGAGTGGAATAGAATACGTAATGTGTATGTTGATCGAGTTGAGCACACGTCGTTTGACGTATGTGTTACATAAAATTCGTTGGTCACGTCATTGAAACAAAATTAGCCTGACTAACCCGTTTCGACATCACTGAACCATTTAGCGCTGCAGAGTAAAACACACGTGAATATTCATTTGACTCTGGGTAATTGCGCAAAAACATCTCAAGAGTTTTTTTGTTCTCCACATACCCCAACAGGTGTGGTTAATCAATTTGAACGACTCACCGATCGTAAGATAATTGCGATTTGAAAGCACTTTGTCCTACCGAACGACGTACGTTGCGGGGATAAGGAAAATAGCGGTAAAAGATAAGAAAGGACGGAAATGACGCGAGCCATTAGGAATTGGGCCTGTGCGGCAACAATTGCGAGAGAACAGCAGCCTCTTTGTCATGAGCGGGAGGAGAGAAGAATGGCTCAATCCCTGGGGCTAACTACCGCGAATTTCCTTGTCTTCCTTCTCCTCCTCCTGCCTATATGCACCACGTGCACGTACGGACTATAATGCAGGTACCTACACAACAGCCGACCCCTCCGACACGTGGAGTCTCCGACGATTACGTGTGGACGTGGACAGGTATACTGTAAACGCTCCGGTTTATCGCGACACAATGGAACTGATGATGATACCAACTCGTCCCTTCCGCAGATAGGACGTGACGGGCTGTCCGTGATGTGCATGTAGGCGTGCGATGGAAATACGTATTGGTCCTTTCATTTATTTGCAACTAATCGAGCGTGTGCTGGCCCCTCGTAATTGTTGCCACGTAGAAAGGAAGGAAGCTTTTCTTGAACGCTTCATGCGCGTATAAGGTCCATAGCCTTGGGGTCGTACGTAGTCGAGGTATAAAATCCAGGAATGCACGGTGAGAATATTTTTTCTTTCGCAGTAAGTCTATTTCCACCCTTTCTTTGGCATCTCGAAAATGAATTTGCATTGTTTATCATGGGATCCACCACAGTATATTTACCCATCACTTTCCATTTATTATCTCCTCGTCCTTTTCCGATGAGCCCACCACTTTGATGGCTTTTCCTAGCAAATTTAATTTAACGCACGATTCCACTTTAACGCAAAGAACAAGCAGCAATGGGGAAGACTGTACATAGACTTTGCCTGTCGAGGGAGCGGGAGTTGAAGAAGGAAAAGGAAGGAAGAACGAGTGGGAGGCTCTTTAGAGGGCAAATAGCGAAGGATGTCGCTCTCCTTGGAAAGCCCGGCAGGGAGGGGAGATAAATTATTCTGGGACGTCGCGGTGCATAATAAGAATCAATAAGACGAGAAGAGTAGAGGGAAAAAGAGACACACACGCGCACTTACCCTTTTATTTAGGTATCCTCTTTCGGTGTCGATCGCGTGTATTTGACACAATTACTTTCCTCCCTTTTTTTCCCTCGGTCGGTTTTGAGGGTCCATTGCTTCGGATTACTGTAATACGTTTCTCTTCTCCAGAGTAATTCGACTTTGATATCCTGCAGTTGTTCTTGGCTCTCGCTTTCATGCTTCATTACGTGCTCAACAAAGAGAAGAAGACATAGGCAGTGAGATGGTTACACGCTTCGATTGCTAATTAATCAGGATGAGAACATATTTCATCCTGTACATCCCGCTGTCTTTTTGGTTTTGTTACTTTTTTTTTATTCATCTTCTCCGTGCGTGTCTCTTTTGTGCACACCACACCGATTTCAGCCAATATTCCCGTCAAACCTGTTAAGAAGATTAAGTGAACATCAAAGGGATCATGAATGTTTGATCGCTCCGCAAAAAGCTTTTTTGAACGGCCCAAAGTACCTACCCTCTGTTGTGTTTGAAACATTACACCAGAAGCTCATTTGCCATCGATACTCATCCCTGGGTTGCGTGTGTTTGATTCCCTCATATTATACGCAGGTGCATGAGGTAGATTTGCTTTGCAGTGTTACCATGGAGTATAGCAGGGGTGTGCATGTGGCTGTACCAGATTGTTAAGCCCATTGGGAATTCCCTTTGAAAAATCATTTTCGTGGGCGCTTTGCGGGGAATATCATTCATGGATGTATATACATGCAGCAGCCGAGATCGGATGGGCTTATTTATTTGCCGTCGTCAATCGACTATACCAAAGTGATGCTTTCATTGTTCGTTGCAGACAAAAGAATCTGGTTTAAGGATACTTTTTTGCCATTCTACGTGCGAAGATAAAGTTTTTTCATTGATGAAAGGCGGAAGAAATCTGTATTGATGCAAAATAAACGTGGTATCTAATTCTCTTGGTATTAAAAGTCGATTAGAAATGACGGTGCGACAATTTGAGGATGACGCTGTACATAGACATTAAGGTATATCGCCGATAGGCTAGTGCTTCGGTGACATCGTTTCTAATTTAAAAGACAAGTAGCGATTAATTGAGTGAACACGTAAAGAAATATTTCCTGGAAGTCGTACATGGGCTAAAATTTTGATGATCATAGATAAACAACAGTTGATGCAATTTTTTTTTGTTTTAATCTAAGCGTCAGAAAAAAAATTTTAGTCAAATGCAACTGGTCTTTAAGTAGTTGTGCTGGATAGTGTCTTATTATACTTCCTCCCTCGGTTTTTTAAATACGAAATTGCAGTGTTATAATCAAGTAATTTATACAACCATTTTTTTCATTCAGGCAAGAGTACCTAGATATACGCACTTGCCTAGTAATGCTACAACTTGACTCTGTGCTATGTACGTATAGGCACTCAAAAAAAACGATGGCTGAGTCAGCAAAAACAATGTGCTACTTAATTAAAAATTGTTATGAATTTTCTTATCAACTTACATTACACTGTTTGAATATTGATGAAACATGCAAACCCTACAAATTAAGCTCGAGCTCGTCGCAAAAACACCGCGTAATAGATACAAAACCAATATTTACACCCAAGAGGAAGAAGAAGATGATGATTCGAGAGGACGAAGCATCGGCAGATGGTCTCTCACGGCATGGTGTGCGTATACTATATTCTAATTAAATCATTGCCAAGGCGAGCAATGAAGCCTCTATATCGTCCCGAGCTGCGAGCAGAAGCAAAGGGAGCTGGCAGTTGGAGATTACTACAAGAATCTCGAGACTCTTTTATTCCTCTGGCTTGCTTGTATACCAGCATCACTGCAGCTATGCGTATAAACGTGTATCTTCCGTGCAAACAACGTCTCCCC